TTTTCTAGGGCTGCATTGGAAGAAGTAGAAGGAGATGTGGCAGAATTGGAACTAAAACTTGATAAGGTAGATTTATATTTTTAACTTTTTATTTTTATTATTTATTTATTTATTGTGATTTGGGTGAAGGTTTACAGAGGAGATTCACTTTCCATACAGCAGTTCACATACACTTTGTCTCATGACATTGACCACAATTTACCACAATGCAACATCTCCCCTCCTACTTCCTCCCAATAATTACGTCTTCCCTGTGTCCATCCCTCCATGCCCTCCTGCCCCCTGAGCTGTCTCCCGGTGCATAAGCAGCCCTTCTTTCACCCATGATTGTTTTCTCCAAGGAGTGTATCTACCTCAGGTAAATGTTCAACTCATATGCCTGTGTGTTGCTTTGCTGGAAGCCACAGGTGTGGGTTCAATTCCAAACCTGATAGGCAGCTAGGGGCCATAGTCTCAGTGGTTCCACTAGGCTCTAACAGACAAGTAAACCTGGTCCCCATCCACTTTTTTTTTTTAATTTTCTCCAAATGCTTTTGAGTTTTGTCCACATTGTTCTCCCTCTCTATTCAGGACCTCCTACATAGATCCCCTTCCAAGTGGTTGACATTGGTAGCTGGGCACCCTCTAGTTCTTCTGGTCTCATATCATATGGCTTGCAGATTGGATGGTGTAACAGTTGCTAGGACTGATTGTATCCATGAATTTTTGGTTTTCTTCATTCTTCTTTGCCCGGGATGAGGAAAGACCCATTGTTGCATCTAGATGGCAGCTTGCAAACTTTTAAGATCCCAGTCGCGACTCGCCAAAGTAGGAGGTGGAACAATGTTTTGTATAGTATGTTATGCCAATTGAGCTTCATGTCCCCTGCGACTATGGTCCCGAGTCCACAGGTTCAACTACTCGGTCTCTCTGGGTAGCTGCCTGTGACCAAACAGTGGCTACCACCTTGCCTCTTATCAACTCTACTATACACCTGGGAATTCAGATCATACACATAAACTTATAGGACCATTGTCTGCCAACCCTATACATGTTTCTTGGGTACACTTCCCATTTCATAACATACCTAATAGTTCAGCCTGTCCACCTATCTATCCACCCACATACCCACGTTTGCTTCACTGACAATGCACTACTGTATATGCAGAAGAGTTCATCTTTCTTGTGTGTACCTCCCATGTACTTCTCTATGTCTTTCTCATCCTCAGTGCCGCCATATTGGTCACTCACATTTGGTAGATTGCCATTCTCTTCACCCAAATCAATACTTATCTCTATCTATCTAACAGTCTTCCTTCCCCTCCCTTCCCCTCCCACCCCTGGTAACCAACAAAGAAAATTTCCTTCCATAGATAAACCTTTACTTGACTTTTACAATAACGGACTAATACAATATTTGTCCTTTTGTGATTGTTTTATTTCACTCAGCATAATGTCCTTAAAGTTCATCCACATTATACAGTGTTTTGAAGATTTTGCATCATTCTTTACTGTTGCATAGTATTCCATTGTGTGTATGTACCATAGTTTGGTTATCCATTCCTCAGTTGATGGACACCTAGGTTGTTTCCATCTTTT